CTGAGGCCTTTATCCAGATGTCATGGTGTCCATGACCACTGTCTTTTCCATCCACCATGCCTGTCATTTACACCACTCATGCACAGGGCTTCCTCCCAGCCACCTCTGAGCTGGGCATGAAGTCCACCTCTGTGTGGACATACCCGAGCTCTGCCTCAGCTCACAATGCAGAGAGCAGATGGAGGCACAAGTGACCAAGTGGGGAGCAAGTGCAGACTGCTTAGCATGTGGGGTGGGGCAGCATCCTTACAGAATGGGAGGACTCAGGCACTTCTTAGATTACAAGAATTTAAATAAGGGGAAAGGAGATACACTCTATAAGGAACTCTGGGATGCTCTATGCAAAGGCCCTTGTATAGGGAAGAAGCCTAAATGTTTGAGCAGAGAGAGAGAGAGAGAGAGAGAGAGAGAGACAGAGACAGAGAGACAGAGAGAGAAAGGGACAGGGACAGGGGCAGAGAGAGACAGACTGGGGTGTTGGCCCATGGTAGAGTTCATAGAGTTGCCCCAAGCCCATTTTCCTTTTCACTGTGGGTAACAAGCTGACCCAGGGACCTTACTTGAAGTGGCCGCCACAGTCTCACTACCAGCCTTCCTGTGCGCAGCTTCTGCCACTGGTTTTTGTAAGCACAACTTGAAAGTCATTAGGTGATGGAAAGACTCTGGAGTTACTGGCCACTATTTACATGCAAGTTGCAGAATCTCAGAGAAGTCAGTGCTATTCAAAACATGTTCTAAGTTCACACTGACTTCCCATCCTCTAAAGACCCTAAGCTGCCCAACAGTCTTACTTCTGTTAGAGCATTCCTCAGATGAAATTCTGGATTGAAGGATTACAGAAATGACAGATCTGAGAATCTCCCTAATCTAGGGTCACTGCCAGTTGACAGCAGGAAAGAAACACCATGGAGGTCCATAACAACAGCAGCAGAACATGGGCTCTCAGACCAGCATATGCTCCACAGAGCATCAGGGTGGAAGGGAAGCCCTGCAGCCACAGGTGAGGCTACCTGCCACCAGCATGATGGGATCCCAAGCCAGAGCTGTGGAAACAGCAACCTTAAGTAATCTTGGGTGGTGCAGGGGTATCTACACCACCATCTCCTGTGTGACTGATTACTACCACAAACCAAAGTGTTCATGAAACTTCAGGCCAGTCACAGAGTTACCCTGAGCAGCTACCTTCTGATGGAGGATGTCCTTCTGTATGCTGTGAATATGTTTTTCTTACTGGTTGATGAATAAATGCTGATTGGCCAGTAGCCAGACAGGAAGTATAGGCAGGGCTACCAGGCTAGGAGAATGCTGGGAAGAGAAAAAACATAAAAGTGGCAGACAGGGAGATATCATGTAGCCACCAGGAAGATAGGACACCCAGGCATTCTCCGGTAAGCCAAGACCACATGGAGATACGTAGATTAATAGAAATGGGTTAATAATTAAGAGAGAGATAGCCAATAAGGAGCCTTAGCCATCCGCCAAACAATTTATAATTAATATAAGCCTCTGGGTGTTTATTTGGAACTAAATGGCCGTGGGACCTGGTGGGACAGAAACTTCGGTCTACAACCTTCAGATAATACAATACTTCCTGGGTTCTCTGGCTCTCAGGTACAGAAATTTGGCCCCATCCACGGGCATGGGTTTTTGTAATGTCAGATTTGGCAGAGAAGTGAGGATTAACATTAAAACCACCAAATGGACATGTTTCTGGTCACTGAAAAACTTTGGCTGACAGATGGCTGCTTAGAGACAGGTGTGCACAGTGACTTCTCACCCAAGGGGAGGAAAGCATCTCCTATTCTCTACTCTTCAGCTAACCCAAGTTTTGTGAATGAGTCACCTGTGATGGAGAAGCAGACAAGAGTATTCCTAATGATTCCCATAATCCCTACATACTGGAAGACTGCTGAACAGCTTCTGGAACAATGATGGCTTCTCCTCTTTCCCACCCAACTAATCACCCTATAAACTACTTTTGGAGTGATGGTTGGGATCTGGGTTGGAACTCATACAGCTATACTTATAAGAGCACAAAGAAGCCACCATGAGTCACAGCTTAGTCCTTGGATCACAGGGATTCAGCTACATCACTCAGGCCCTCCTCAGTGGACCTCAATCAGAAGAAACACTTGGGGCTAAGGGATGAATTTGCTTCCCACAAGGCATGGTTGTAGCTGAGACAGGGCCATGAAGTAAGAAGCCAGACCAGGCTCTAGACTGACCTTGAGCCTTAGCTCTCAGGGTTCAGCTCCTCACTTCTAGAGAGAGAAGAGGTCGGGCAGAAAAGTTTAGCGTTTCTTCCCATTTTAAAACAACTATGAGGCTCGGTAAGTGCTTGCTGTGTAAGCATGTAGATTTGAGTTTGATTCCCAGAACCCAGAGAACTAAATTAAGTGTGGAGCAGGAGCATGGTTGTAATCCCAGCACTGTAGAGACAGAGACAGATGGAGTCCTAGAGCTTGCTGGCCAGCCAGCCTAACCAAATCAGTGATCTCCAAGCCAATGGGACACAGTCTTAAAAATACAAAATGAATAATGTCCTTGAGGTTCTCTTCTGATCACCACATATACACAAACTAGTGCATGTGCACCTGCACATACATCACACACACACACACACACACACACACACACACACAAATACAAACCTAGGGTAAAACCTAGAACAGAACAGGTTACTGTTCCTTCCTAGTTGGTAGAAAGTTTCCCTTTCCATGGAAGATGCTGGATATGATCAAACATTATTAGTGTTTCTCCATTCCACTCCACCAGTGACAGACCAAGAATTGGTTGACTTCCAAGTATTAGTTGCCACCCTGGCTAGGGCAAAGAGATTTCAGGACAGAGTGGGGGCAGGGGACCTCTAAACTGTACTGTCTAGGCCTAAGGCGGTCTGGGAATGTCAGCCCTAATCAGGGATTAACTGCATTGGAAGTCAGGAGGAGGGCAAGGAGAAACTCCAGCAGGCTTGGCCTCTGGAGTCAGGCTCTCACTAGTATAAATGCCAGCATGGGTTCCCTGTGTATCGTCGCTGTAACAACAGCAAAAGCCCAAGACACTGGGGTGTGGCAGAGCGGCAAATGACTGAGTTCCTATCTGCCACAAAACCCTCCATTTGAATTCAGTCAAGCAGCATTCCCAGGCATCTGGCAATCAACTAAAACAAAAACTGTCCCAAGAGATACTCTTAACACCAATTCCTAATCAAAAGTGCACACAAAGCCCTGGCAGGAGCCACCAGTTACTTTGAGCTTGAACCTAATACAGTACGGGCACTTTCAGGCAGGAGCTCTCTTGGGATAAATGGCTGAATTTGGCAAACAGCAGAGAGCAGACAGGACAATGTCAACAGGCCAGTGTCTTTCCAGTCCCCAAATGCCCTCCCCACCCACAAAGGCTAGGGTTACAGGTGCTTTCACCTTCCACCAATTCCATGGGCATTCACTTGCCCAATCAAGACCAGTGCTTGTTCTTTCTGGTCGACCCTCCAGGCATAAGAACCCTGAGAGCATATCTACAGTGACCATATCTTAGGAAGTCAACCAAGAAATGACAGGAAATGAAACATCCAGAATTCACAGAAGGGAGGGTCACTGACTCTGGGCCACTGGTGTCCACCTCCTACAGATCATTAACCAGAACACCCAATAGCACTCTACAGAGAAAGAGAACGATACTGGCTTCAGCTCGGTGAACTCCATATTCTCCTTGATTGGGCCAGGCTTCTGATACCAGATCAAATGGGGGTTAGTGACAGCAGCTTCACTGTAAAATAGTGTTTATGCCTACATATGAGGACACATAGCTTGCATGCTGGCCCCAGGTAGTGGGTCCAGCTCTGGTGACTGAGCACCTATTCTAGGTATCAAGACAGATGTCAACTAAGCTTGTAGCCTTTGCATCCAAAAATCTTTCCAAGAGTCCAGAGCAAAGTCTCTTGTACAGTTGGACTATTGGATTTGTGCTAATTTATACTTAAGGTTTTTTTTTTTTTTAGTTCCATGGCCACATGTGCCAAGGCGATGGCACAAAATCTGGGCTCGGGGCCCACTGTTAAATATTCTGAAAGTGGATAGGTTCGGCCATGACAGTGACTTAACATTGTGGTTTTCACTGAGTCCAAGGCTGGTAGTGTGGGGCTTCTCCACTGGGCTGCACAGTTGCCTGTGTACCTGAAGTCGAGGGACAGACACAGTCCTGAAAGGTACCAGCTCTGTTCCACCAAGCTCCTAATTTCCCTGTGGAATGCCTCCAAATTGTAGACGCCAGGAACTTGTCCTTACACTAACATCTCTTAAAAACAAAAATAAGTCACAAGCAATTAATAACAAAAGAAACAACCACAGGATTGTGAGGCACAGTGCTGGGTAATAAGCCCAAGGTGTGAGGTCAGCACATTTGGGTCTATATCCTCACTATGACACCAAAGACTATGCAACTCTAACCTTTTGGACATCAGTTTCCCCAGTTGTATGATGGTGAGGATGCCATACTGATTTGGGAGTGACAAGTACTTACAGTCCCAGGGCCACATTTGGCAAGGAGTGAGATCTCAAGAAATGGTCACTATTCTGTGATATGCTCAGAAATGCAAGTCTTTTAGAATTAAGAAGCTGTAGGTAGAGGGGAATAGATTCGAAATGGAAGCATATTTGGATCACAGTTATCCAGTGAAGGCGGGTAAAAGGTTCAAAATCAATAAATGTCCACTCAGAATCCACTAGGGACCAGCTGGGTGGGCACAGGTCCTCTGAGCAGTTCTCCCACAAACAGCATAAACCAGGGAGCCACCGATGTTTGGTGTATGAAACAGTCACGTTGTTGATTCCCCACCGCAGGTGCTACTCTCTCCCTGGTCTTAACTTCAAGGATGGAATAAATGCCTTGCCTCGGTAGGCTCCGAGTGGCCGGTCAGGGGCTTTGGCGGCCTCCAATCTACAGAGCTCTTTCTGACGGGCCCCCTCACCCTCAAACACCACGCCTTCCTAGGAACTCACCCCTCTTCTTTCGGCCTCATAGTTCAGTGCGGTCACCCAGGCCGTTTGCCACTGGCTTCCCCAGCTATCCAGAGTAAGTATCCAGGACAGGAGCGTGTCTGACTCCCGGCGCCGTAGTTCGTCCGGCTCCGCCCGCCGCCGGGGCGGGGGTCGCGCCCTGGCCAGCGTCCATTGCGCCAAATACAGGCCCACCGTGCCCAGGGCCGCGACGAAAAGCGACACCAGGATGAGCCACTGTACCTCGCCGAGCCACGAGCCCATGCTGACGGCGCATACCCGGCGCGCGCACCCCGACTTCCCCGTGCAGCCTTGGCTCCGGAGCGCAGAGCGGGCGGGTGGCGACTCAGGACATTCGCCGGGGCGCAGGGGCGCGGGGTTCGGGGAACGGGGCCTGAGAGACCGGGGCTAAGGCCGCTAGGAGGGCGCTGGGGACCGGTCTGCGCGCCGAATAGAGCGCTGCGCACCTGGGACTGGAATGCGGGACTGAGGCGGCCTCTCCCCACGCGCCGCTGGGAAGTGCGGGCCAGGCGCTTCCTCTTCTCTCCCAGCCCCGGGCGTCCGGCCCGCGGCCCCGCAGTAACCGCAGGAGGATGGGCCTGGGGGCGGGCAGAAGCGGAGTCTCCCTTCACAGCTCCGCCCCCTTAAAGGCCCCGAGGGCCCGCACAACCGCTCAAGGCCTCTTCCATCACAACCCTGAGAGGTAGCAAGGTGGTGAACTCGTGGGGCGCCGCGATTGGCACATTCCACCCCAAAGGCTACTGCTGGGTGCCCTGGCTGGGCTGTGTGTCGGTAAGAGATGCCCCGATGAAGAGAGAATTCCAAGAGTTTCCCGGACCACCAGGACTGAGTTTTTGCAAGGCCAGTCTCAGCAGCAAGTAGCTGTCACTCTAAAGTAGGCTCATGAGCTACCATGTGCTAATTCAAGATCCTGGAATGTGCTTGTCAAACCCAGGCCCTAGTTCAGGATGTGGATGTACCATTGACTTTTTTTTTTTTTGAATGCGCACCCGTGTGTGTGTGTGTGTGTGTGTGTGTGTGTGTGTGTGTGTGTGCGCCCTGTGTCTGTATTTTGTGCATTTGTGACGTACTTCTGCATGCTAACCTTGGGAAAGGAATGTTAGGAAAGTTGTCAGAGTAGCCAGATTCTCTAAGACCTGACAGCCTTATCTTTTAACATGGTTCAGCTGTGTTTTTTGCAGCTGCTCCAATGGAATTGGACTTCAACTAGGGCTAGGTGGATTCAGCCTTCTCTTACTACGTAGGAGTCTGCAAGCCAATAGATATTTGGGGAAATCAGGGGGAGATTTGAACCTAGAATCAGTGTCCCCTCCACCCCGTGGCAGTTACACAGAGGGACCTTGTGGGAATGGAATCCCACAGAATGGAATCAGCTCAAAGGCTGCCAGTGTTGAGCTTGAGCCTTTCCTAGTCAAGACACGGCATTAAAAACAGCCCTAACCATGTCCTGTAAATTACCATAGGCTGATGAACACTGGTAGTTCATAGGCTAGAGGCTCAGACCTACTCCCCTTTTCCCCTTTATGCCTGGTATTTTAAGTATCTGTTCTCGTTTGAAGAAAGGGTCTGTTATTTTTCTGATCTATAGCTAGATCTATGCAGTTGAGTGATGTGGGTCTTGCCAGGCACCTGAAAGTCTAGACCATATCTACTTGTGCCCAAGTCCACCTGTGCTCATGTGAGTTCACGTGTATGCTGGCTGCTACTGTGTGGGTGGTGATGAGGAGCTCATCAATCCTGTGTGACTGGTGCAACCAGTCTCATTCTTCCTTTGACATGTCTCAGAGGCTGCTCACCCCACTGAAACGGCTACAGACTTGTAATAAACTGCAAATTAACCACCACCCCTAGTCTGGAATGTGTCATATTTCCATATGTGTCTACAAAGAGATTGTTAACATGCAGATATGCAGGGTGTCAATATTTGCTTCTAGAAGCAAACTGTGGGGAAGTAATGACTCTGGCTTATGGGACAATGCACGTGGTCAAAACATGCTTGCAACCAGAGCAGAAACACCTTGTAAGTTCATGAAGTTTCTGCTCTCAGTGGATGACCCATTGGCTCTGGGCTACTCAGTTTTCTGGCAAAATGGCACACATGTTCCTCATTGTGACATTCTTTGTTCCCTGTGAGGCAGGTGTTCCTTTCCCACACCCATCTTTGACCTGGGAGCAGATTACAGTTCTCCTGTGAGGGGAACCTGCCCTCACTTCAGTTGATTTTAATAGGTCTAGTTTTCAGTCACATTTGACTGTTGCTATTTTTTGAGTTTTAAGCAGTGTGTGTGATATGCCCATGTGTGTTTCAGGTGGCTGTGGCTATGTGTTAAATTTAACCACTCTGTGTGTGTGTGTGTGTGTGTGTGTGTGTGTGTGTGTGTGTGATGTGCACATGTGTGTTTCAGGTGCATGCACCCTGCACAGAAGCAAAGGCTGGAGGACATCAGGTGTCCCACTCCACTTTCAGCCTTACTCTCTTGAGACAGGATCTCTTTCCTGTCTCTGTAGCTAGGTTGTTGACCAGCAAGACCTAGCTCTCTTCTGTCTCTACACCTTCTCCCCAGCACTGGTGTTACAGACAGGCATGTACCCACACATCTGGCTTTTTAAATGGGGGTTCAAGGGGTTTAAACTGAGGTCCTACACAGTCAAGTGCCCTTACCCACTGATCCATCTCCCTAGTCCAGGGTTAAATACTCTTCAACACAAAACTTTGTGATTCTGAGTTTCTATGAGTAGGGAGGGTAGGGGTCTGTGCGTGGAGGAGGACCCTAGGTGTGCTGGCTGCTGTCCCCAAGTCCACTCTCCTCTGTGGCAGTTAGTGGATGATGAAACATCTCCCAGATGCTTAGCATTTTATATCAAGCCACAGGAGCCACCAGGAGCAGCTGCCTACCTGGAGGACTTCCAAAGGCATCACTCTGAACTGGGACCAGATCTGCCTGCGGATAGAGTGGTAGAATGGAGGAAAGTTCTGAATTCTTCTCCAGCATACTTCCAAGAGCTGGCCCGTAGACCCTGAAGCAATAGGCACCACTTTTCACATTTCTGAGATGCTTGTCATTCAGCAAAAGTTTCCTGTTGGATGTTTTATGCTGACTCACCCTGTTTCAGTGCAATTTCCTCATCTGTATGTAAAGGTTGGACATATTTTGCCATCTTATCAAGTTCTGAAGATAGGAGGATGCTGTATTTTCAGAAATAAACATATCTAGTGTTGTAAGTTTTATGTCTGTATACAGTTATCCTCAGTCATATGAAAAATTATTCATTATTGTTGAACAGATATTTTGTGGGTTTTTTTTTCTTAAAGAGTATAATGTAACCTGTGCTGATGTTTAACTAACCATGCAGCCCAAAATAATTCTGAACTCCTGATCCTCTTGTCTCTGCCTCCCAAGTGCTGGGATTATAGATGTATCCTCCCATGCCCGGCTCTATTTGATACTAAGGAATGGAACTTTGATCCTCTTGCATGCTAGGCAAGCAACTCTTCTGAGCAACCAACTGAGCTGCATCCACATCTCACTTGAAGGTTTATAAACATAAACTTCCAAATAAGTGAGACTTATGTTAAATTTTCAATATAATTATCTTAAATAGCTGAACAAAAGGAAAAGGGGGTTCCAGGAACTCTCCACTTTGTCCCTTCTCCTAGAAGTGACTTGTGCCCAGCACCCTGGCAGATAGCATTTTGGAGGGGGGACAGGCTATGATGGTTGCCTCCCAATCCAGTTAAACCAGCAGGGCCTATACTCTAATGTCCCTGTCAGCCCAAGAATTCCCTTTCGGCTGACTTTGTGGTGCAATACTCAGGGCTATGCTGGAGGAGTGATCAGCGAGTGTGGGAAGACATTTGACTCAGTTTCCTGGCTCCATCCACTTTAGGCCAGTTTCCTGTGATGTCTGTAGAGTCCAACCAAGGAGCCAATGAACCAGGCAAGGTACACACACACACACACACACACACACACACACACGAGAGAGAGAGAGAGAGAGAGAGAGAGAGAGAGAGAGAGAGAGAGAGAGAGAGAGAGAGAGAGAGAGAGCTAGTCCCAATCAAAACATCCCTTTCTTTCACCTTGTTACTTTCTGAGCTTATGGCTGGGTGCTTTTCCCTGTGGCCTTCCTTGAGGGTAGCAACTGTCTCCAGAACTTTCAGTAAGAAAAAGTGCAGCCTCTATGGGTGGAGAGCAGACAGCCACTCCCTCGTGTGGCCAACAGAAACAGCAGTATTATGAAGCAGGACTCCCTTCTGACAGGGATGATACTCCAAGTCCCAAAGATACATCAGCAAGATGAGACACCTGGTAAGCACTCATGAAGGTCACCTCAGCTGCCATCAGATCCTTCCCAAGACACTGGGCTTTTATGGACTCACTTCCTGCTCATGGCAAGACTGGAAGGAAAACATTGTCCCACTTTAAAAATGAAACTCAGTTCAGAGAAGAGGAGGAACTTGTCCAAGGCCACATTAAGAATATGGATGAACTAAAAGTTTAACCCCTTTGGATTCTTTGTGACCAAATCCAACTTCCTATCCTACTTCATAAAGACAGAGGCAAGCTAATTTTATGTTCGAAATTTCAAAAGCTGGAAGTAAAGGAGTCCCTTTTCTCTTGATCACAGGTAGAAACTTGCCTAAGGGAAACATGGGCTCTTAGCTCCTAACCCTGAGAGACCAGCCATTCAGGAATCCATCCACTCAAGGAACAGTAGAGAGCATCTGTAGGTCTTCAAGCCAGATCTGAGAAATACCTAGATGAATCCAGTCCCGGCACCACATGATCGTCTTGATCGGTCAGCATGCTAGTGCAAATACCCATCAAGCAACAGGACATGCCTTCAGACCCCACCCAGGTGATGTCTGTTGATGAGCCTGAGTCACAGAAACATTTGAGGAAGTGTTATCAGGATATGAGCAAGGCCATCTGCCCTGGGCAGACTGAGGAATTGCCCAGGATTCTGTTGAAGCTGAACATACAGAGGAATGTGGCTGGGTGACAGCCTGCATCTGGCAGGTAGCTTGAGTAAGCTTCCTAAAGGGTTACTCAGGAGCAATTGCTTTTGTGATTGAGTGGGATCACCCTTAAGAGCAAACAGCAGGAAGCCAAGATGTTGAGATAATTCTCTAAAACTTTCCTTTACTGTGGGTTTTCCCAACTCCAAGGAGTACTGGCCCCTCCTTGTGCATGCACAGCTGAAGTTTCTTGACAGAAGCTGGCCTGGGAATTGACACTGAGCTTGGTTCACTATTAAAAGTGGAGTTTGTAGGGACTTAACTACAAACTAGAGCCAGTGAACTGAGGAACAGAGATATGCGTAGCCTAAAGGCTCCATTAGATGTAGTTCAAGCGCCTTGCTTACTGGGGAAGGTCTTGAGGGCCAGCTTCTCAGAGCCCACTAGATCTGCCTCTGCAGCCCTGCTGCCATGTCTATTCCAGGGCTGGTGCTGTAATCAAACTATGCTCTTACTATAGATGGGCATGATTGTATTTACCACAATATCAGACTTTATTTAATAGGAATATTTCAATTACATGTAATTAATTTATTAATAATTA